AATGGAAGTAGAGGCAATAGGAAAATTTAGATTATTGTTAAAGACTGGATTTTATTTGGATCTTGTTGAGACATTTATTGTACCGTCTTTTAGACGGAATTTGATTTCTATTTCTGTTTTGGACAAATTTGGTTATACTTGTTCTTTTGGAAATGGAAAATTTAGTTTGTTTCATGATTCAAAATTGGTTGGTTCCGGTTCTTTGTCAGGTTACGATAATCTTTATTCAATTGATACAATTACTTCGTATAATGAGACCTTGCATGTAAGTACTCGAGGTGTAAAGTGAAAATTAAACGACGAGAATTCTACCTCGTTGTGGCACAAGAGATTAGGTCACATCTCCAAAAGGAGAATTGAGAGACTTGTGTCTGACGGGATTCTCGACCCTCTTAACTTCACAGATTATGATTTGTGTGTCAACTGTATAAAGGGAAAACAAACCAATAAAAGGAGATTTCAAGCCAATAGGACTTCGGACGTCTTAGAACTTATACATACGGATATTTGTGGATAATTCCCTATAGGTTCTTGGAATGGTCAACAATATTTTATAACGTTCATAGACGATTTTTCAAGATATGGCTACGTATATCTCCTTCATGAAAAATCACAGTCACTGGATGTGTTCAAAAACTATAAAGTTGAAGTTGAGAACCAATTCGGCAAAATGATTAAAATCGTCAAATCTGACTATGGGAGTGAATACTATGGCAGATATGACAGTTTAGGTGAACAGCGTCCAGGGCCATTTGCTAAATTCCTAGAGGAATGCGGTATCGTCCCACAGTACACTATGCCGGGTTCGTTGTTGTCGATTTTATCCCGCAAGTAGAAGGATCGTAACAAGTAGTAAAGTGGACCTTTTGAGTTTGGATTATCGTTCCCACGAGGACTATATTTTAGTACTTAATTTATTATTCCTAATTTCTATTTAATGAAAATAAATAAATAAATAAATAGAAATTGAATGTGATTTTTAAATCTAAATACTAAAAAAAATGCAAATTGATGCAACAGAAAATGATTGAGAATTCAAATAATAAAGGACGTTAGGGTGGAACAATTTCACCTAATGGTCACCTTTGCTTCGTAAATCAAGATTCATACAATCTAAAGTAGTGTTCGGTCAAATTCTTCTATGGTATTCAACTTACCTCTCTCGAGTTCTCGTTGAATCTATTTAATTAGTTCAATTTCATATCTCTATGCAAATTAAATTTAATTAAACGTAGCATTGGTTCTAAGAATTCATACACGACCGCATCAATCAATATATGTATCTCTACACGTTATATCAATTTACCGGATTTTAACATGTAGTCTAAACAAATAATCCGTATTTCTACGCAATCATTGTTCACAAATCATCTAATTAGTGATTAAGTAATTAAATGCATTAAGAACAACATTAAAATCAACACATAAAACATAAAAGTACTAGAATCTTAATTCAACGAAATAAAGGGTTCCAAAAGATTACATTGTTCGCCCTAATTTTGATTTAGCTACGCATAATAATGAAAGAAAAAACAAGTTTATTAGGAAATTCATCACCGGGTCAATTGATGGAACGTAAATAATTTGCAAGACTGAATCTGCCGTCTTTTGCCGTGTCTGCTTCCTTTCAATTTCAGCCTCTTGTCTTGTGTGTGTGATTAGCAGCCTCAATTTTTTACTTTAATCAACCCCAAAGCTGCTGTCAATTAATTCCCAGACAAACTCCCAGCTACTGCCCTCAAAATATGTGCGTAAATAAGAATAATGATGCAGCAACCAGCAGCTTTCAATTTCTCCTCTCTGGCTTTCCGTGCATGTATATATAGAGAGAGAGAGTTTATCCCCCAGCCAATTTTTCTGTGCGTGTATAGGTATCCTCCCAAGAAGAAAAATTGGTAGCCACAATAATTATCTCCAAAAGGACTTCTCTCTTTTCTCCCAGCAGCCGCCGAATTTTTTTCTCTCCAGAAAACTCCTCCCCCTTCCTCTTAGTTGGTATGTATATATATATTATATATAAAAAACCTAGGGCCACCCTAATTGACTAAGAAAAGGACACTCTCTCCTCTCTTTACTTGGCTTGTATATATATATATAAAATAATCTAGCCACAATATGACTTCAAAATAGACTCTAATAATGCCAATTGCCTGCCACCTTTGTTGACTAAAGAAAACTCTTATTCATGCATGCATGTAGGGGTTAAATCAACACCAATTGATACCATAATTATTCTTCAAGTCATTCCACTTTTTAAAGTAATGCAATGTAGTCCTTGAGTTCCTCCATTGTGCAATCAACGTCCTCTTTAATTTTTCAAGTGTTGAATTTGATCTTCAATATTGCATCCACTAGCCAATTTGTTCTTCATCCTTTTCCATTTGCTCCAAACGAGTCCATCATTAAAAACAAACTAAAATTTACTCAAGTTAAATAGAAATTAATAATTTGACGACATAAAATCTTAATAAAATGGTCTAAATAAGTGCATAATTTGTACTCATCATTTGCCCACTATGAATGGTGTTGCTGAGAGACGAAACAGGACGCTTAAGAACATGGTGATGAGTATGATTAGTCATTCTAGCTTACCAGAATCTCTCTGAGGTAAAGCATTAAAGACCGAAGCTTATATACTCAACAGAGTTCCAACTAAGGCCATTAATAAAACCCCATATGAGCTTTGGACGGGTAAGAAGCCTAGTTTGAAGCATATACATATTTGGGGGTGTTCAGCTGAGGCGAGGCCCTATAAGCCAAATGAAAAGAAACTAGACACAAGGACCATCAATTGCTATTTTATTGGATATTCTGAAAGGTCCAGGGGTTACAAGTTTTATGATCCCACAACTAAGGCAATTTTTGAGACAAGAAATGCTCGGTTCTTTGAGGATATTGAGTTTGCGGGGAGAGAAAGGGTTACAGGCTTTGTCTTTGAGGAGGAATATGTTGAAATTTCTCCAATTGTCGTTGATAATGATTAGGTTTCTATCTCTGATATTGTTCAAGAAGCAACTCTGGATCAAGACAATGTCATACCTCCCTCTCAAGATCAACAAATTGTTCCAGAAGAACAAACTCTATAGCCTTAAGAACCAATGCCATTAAGAAGATCCACTAGAGAGAGGAGAAGTGCGGTTTTGAATGATTACATCGTATTTCTCCAAGAACATGAAGTTGACATTGGAATGGTGGAAGATGATCCGATCAACTTCCGTCAAGCCATGGAAAGTTCTAACTCTCAAAAGTGGTTCGATGCTATGAATGAAGAGATAAAGTCCATGAAGGACAATGACGTATGGGACCTCGTTCCATTGCCTAAAGATGCGAAACCCATTGGTTGCAAATGGGTATTTAAGACCAAGAGGGATTCGAAAGGTGATGTAGAGAGGTATAAG